AAGTTTATTTTGCTGTTGATCTCCAGTTTCATTTCACTATGGTCTGATAATATATAAGGGATAAGTTCAATTACTTTGCACTTACGTTAACATGTTCTATAATTATGTGGTCTGTCTTGGAGAACAACCTGTGTGCAGCTGAAAAGAATGTGTATTCTGATTTTGTGGGGTGGAACACTCTGTAAACATCTGTTAAGTTCATTTGTTCAAGAGTTTGACTGAGTTCTAGTATTTCATTGTTTATTTTCTGTCTAGTTGATCTATTTTTGATGGTGGAGTATTGAGGTCCCCCACTACTATTGTATTAATGTTTATTTGATTTATTGTGTCCATTAGTATTTATTTTATATGGTTGGGCACACTCATAATCGACACATATATATATTTATGATTGTCACCTCTTCCTCTTGGATTTTTCCTTTCACAAGGATGTAGTGTTCTTTATTTGTCCCTCTTAATTAGTTTGAAATCCACTTGATCTGCAAATACAATAGCTACTCCTGCTGTTTTTTGTTTGTTTGTTTTTTGGTTCCTATTTTTTAGAGTATTGTTTTCTACCATTTAACTTTCAGTCTATGAGTTTCTTTCTGAATTAAGTGTTTCTTGTATGTAGCATATTGTTGGATCTTGCTTCTTGACCCATTCTGCCAGTCTATTTCTTTTGATTGGTGAATTGAGACCATTAATATTGATGGTTACAACTGATATGTACTGACTTATCCTTATTATGACTTTTTCTTTTTTTTGGATTCTCCACCTTTGCATTTAATTTCTTGTTTGCCTGATGAATACATTCCTGAGGTTGCTATACTTACTGTCTTTTCCTAGGACACTGTTTAAAATTTTTTGGAGTGCTGGTTTGATATTCATGAAGTTCCTCAGGTGCTCTTTGTCATGATTTGATTTTATTTCCATCAAATTTGAAAGATAGTTTTGTAATACATCAATCTGGGTTGGAGCTTGTTTTCCTTTAAGGCTTGGAATACATCATTCCAAGCTCTTCTTGCCTTGAGGGTTTGTGTTAAGAAGTCTGCTGTGATTCTGAAGGGCTTTCTTTTGTATGTGATTTGTTTCTTTTTAAAAACTGCTTGTAGAATTTTGCTCCTGTGTTGGGTTTCTGGAATCTTAACTATTATGTGCCAAGGTGTAAAAAAAAAAAAAATTAAAAAAAAATCATGGCTAGTTGCAGCCTTGTATGCTTCATTTATCTGTATGTCAAGTTCTTTTCCTATGCTTGGAAAGTTTTTTGCAATTACTTCTGTGAATAGTTTTTTATGTCATATGCACTCATGTTTCTTCATTGATTCCAATAAGTCTCATGTTATTTTTCTTTGCATCATCTATCTCAGCTGTTGGATTGATTTGTCATGGCCCCTTATTATTTTTAAGAAATTTTTGTTTTCCTGGTCACTAATTGCAATCCTGTCTTCTATATCTAAAATTCTGTCTTCACTTTGGCTCATTTTGCTGAGTAAACTTTCAATGGAATTTTTAATCTCCTGGAAATCTGTTTGCATCTGTTTTATGGATTACATTGTTTCCTATTTTGGGATTCCATCATGTTCTTCAGCTTTTCTTTTTTCATTTTTCTGTGTCTACTCTAGATTTATTAATCATGCCTTGCAGTGTGGATACTGTGGATACAATCTCTGTTGTTATCTGAGAAATTATTTCTAACTTCATTTTTTCCAGAGCCTCTTTTGTTGCTAGTTCGAGGAGTCCAGGTGGTTGAGTATCAGATTGTTCCACCTCATTGCCCTTTGGGGTTGCCTTAAGTGATTTGGAACTCTGGTTTTGAGACTTGTTTACCTGTTTTCTCATTTCAACAGATGCAGCCTGTTGGACCTTTGTTGAGGCAACCTTTTCTCAGCGTCTCAGTGGTCTTCAGTTCTCAGCAAGCCACTGAAGTGGGCTTTTCTCTGCTTCTCACCACTGCACCAATTCCTGGATTCAGAGTGGTGACCTTCTGGATCCCTGTGATGTTCTGTTGTCCAGGTGGGGTTCTGGCTGGGGCCTGTGCACACTTGGGATTTTATCTAGGCTTGCCTTTTGATAGGGCCTGCCCTCTGACACAGCTGTTGTCCAGAAGGACCTTTGGCTGGGGGCTGAGTACCTCCATCACTGGTGTCTGGGCAGGCTTTTGGCTAGGGTCTATGTGCACTTACCAATGGCATCAAGGAGGGCCTCTGGTTGTTGTTTGTGTGACTGTGTAGCTCTTTTCCATGGGGGTCTTTGGCTGAGGCCTTGAACCCACATGGCTGGGGATGGGTGGGGCCCTGGCTGAACCTGCCTGTAGCTATGCATCTCTGGTCCACAATGTCTTCTCACTGGGATCTGCATATACTTCAAAACCATTTTAAAAAATTGTTGTTTGCTTGTTGAAGTATGGGTTTTTTATGTATTGTAGACATTAACGTTTTATCAGCTATATGATTTACGACTGTTCCTTCTTCGTGATGATGCAAAATGTTGAGTATGTTATTATATGTGCAGAAACTTTGAAGTTTCATATTATTTAATTTGTCTACTTTTTGTTTTGTTACCTATGCTTTTGGTGTCATATCCAAGAAATCATTGTTAAATCCAATGTCATAAAATTTCCTCATGTTTTCTTCCATAATTTTAGTTTTAAGGTTTATTTTTAGATCTTTAATTCATCTTGAGGTATTTGTAATGCTGTATAGATCCCACTTCATTCATTTGTGTGTGGATATTCAGTTTCTTCAAAACCATTTTGTTGAGTCTGGCCTTTACCCATTGAGTATTGTTTATGCTGTAACACAAGTTTTGTTTATTGTAGCTTTTTTTTTTCAGCTTTAATTGAGTTTATTGGTACATTTTAGGGATACAGTACAGTTACATTCATTGTTGGGATCTTGTACCTCTACATGACAAGTCTTGTAGCTTTTTAATGTGTCCTGAATCAGCATCATTTGGCCTCCATCTTTGGAGTGTAAAATACCAAACTTTTCCCTTTCTTGAAGACTTTTTTCTGCGTATGTGCTCGCGCATGTGTGTGTTTGCGTGTGCATGTGTGTGTTTATTTGGAGTCATTTGTTTAGATGGTGAGTGTGACTTTTCTGTTTGTAGAACAGAGAGAATAGAAGCTGCTTTTTGATGTAAAGTAGTACATGGGCCTAATCAGAGGAAGCGATACATCCTGGCCATGCCTCTGATACAATGGAATATGAAGATGGGGATGTTGGAAGAAAAGTAGTCACCATGACCTCAGTAAAAATTTGCTATCCTTGAAACCTGTGGGAGGTTTCCCATGTTTTCCTCATCTTTTTCCCCTTGTCTTTCAGTGTGTTTTCCTTCCTTTCACAATTTGCAGATGTTGAGAATTCCATACTGAAATTATAGGTTAAATCAAAACTTGAAACTTTGAACTTTGCTGATTAGCATGGCACTCATGAAGTGACACTATGATGTGCTCTGAGCATGCAGGTGGTCAAAGTAGACCCAATCCCTGCTCTTACAGGACTTCATCCAGCAGCCTCTTGTGAATGTGGGCAGAGCCTAACATGTGTATCAAGTCAAAGGAAAACTTAAAGTTTGCCTTTCTGGTTACAGAATGTAACTTTCTAATTTTTCAAGGGCATACTCTGATCAAAGTTTTCATAAAGGTAAAGGGATACTTCTCTAATTTTCTTTAAAGGAAATTCAAATACTTCATGGTTATGAAACAAAATCTAGGCTGTTCTATAACTTAATGAGCAGTCTTACTTAGAATACATTTAGGCTTTAATCAGTGATTTATTTCCTTCTCTAAAGCCATGAAAGATCCTTTCCTGCTCTACAGAAGTAGTGAGAGCCAGGATATTTGCTGGCAAGAGGAAAGAAGAGCAGAATTGAAGCCATGCTCTCTTACATGGAAGAAGGGGCCAAATTGTACCCAAACAGATTTTAAAAACAAGAAAGTGTACTTTTTGGGAAATCCCATCCCCTGGAGTTGAAAATTTACTCATGAAAAAAAATCTTTTTTCTAGAAGACCTTCATTATTTTCAGTGAAGTTAAAAATATTATACAGCTATTTAGAGCCTCAATGCCTGGCATGTAGTCCATGCTATATAAATGCTAAACAGTAACTTTGAAATGTCTACAGCTTTATATGTTTTCTGTATTTGATTTTATTTGAAAACTTTTGAGGTTTATAGCAAAGATGGAGGGAATTACTTTAATAAAGTTGGGGTAATGTATACATAATGTAGGAACTTAAATTTTGCTAGAAACTTTTGCTAAGAAGATACAGCAATATTATAAAATGATCACAGCCTCTTTCATTTTTTCAAATGCAATTGTCTTTGTCTTGATATTAATGTTTGTGTGTTTGATGGATTTTGCTGGTTTTGGATGGGTTAGATCACACTAAACTGAAATAATGGATCTATATTTATATGTTAATGAGCTTCTGAGAAGTAGGTTAACAATTTTATTATAAGGTGTTCAGTGTCCTAGATACATCTTTTGTTTCTAGTTTTGTTCACATTCTGAAAAATTTCCAGGCATTGAAAGAGCCTGGCAAAATTTTTAGAGCTAGATAGCACTCTATGCTTATGTTATGAAATATTCTTTCTTTGGATTGATATGCATATCAAAGGTTGCAGATAGGGCCATGACAATATGAATCACTTTTTAAAAATGGAATATGCCATTGGTTTACTGAATTATTTAATTTTCTTTTCTATGTGGGTGAAGTTTTAGCTATAAAACATTCAGTTTTGCTAAAAATTCTTAATCACATCTATGAAAATATCCTTGAAACATTTACATATTCCAAACTTTCAGTTCCACAAAATGGCACAGAGTCTATGAGAATACTGATATATTATATATTAGCATAATAAGAAAGCATCTGTGAAATGTCCTGATAAAAAGATTAGTATGCCAAGGTTTTGTCATAGTAATATAAAAAAGATGACTTTGGCAAAAAGTAAAACTTCAGAGTTTGGGAAATGCTTCTGATACTGAAGCTGCTGCCTTTGATTTTATTTTCTAGGTCATTGTTTCCCAACCTAGATGCTGAGTCCAGTGAGACTATGAAGATATTGTGAGTGTTCTTGGAGATCAGAACATAAGAGATCCAACAGAGGTAGGTGGGAGTGGACAACTGAAGGCAATTACATAAATGAACCAGATGCTCTCTCCCTCTGGTCTCTCTCATGTAGCTTTCTTTTAGTTTTTTCAAATCTTCTGCTTTGCTAAAAGAGAGTGGCTGCTGGTGAACTTCTCTTTACTTTTTATCTTTACTTGGTAGTTATAGCTAATGCTTATTGAGCAATTATTTTGTACCAAGGGAAAATATTCTAAGTGAAGACCGATAATTTCACTTAAAACTTAGTATAATTCTGTGAGATGGGTACTATTTGTTTTCCCCTTCAGGTCATACATGGAGAAACTGAGGATTGGAGAGTCTAATGATTTGTAAAAGTTCATTTGGCTAAAATGAGGAGTTTATTTTGAACTCAGTCAGAATGCAGCATTCAAGTCTTCCCCAATGGTCTCTTCAATAGGGAACCTCAGATAGAACATTTCGGGAGGCTTTTTCAAAAGGCAAACATGCTTCCTACTGTGATTAAGGAATGCCTTTTAGAACCCTGTCCCTGGTTAAGAATTACACCATCTAATGAGAGAAAGAGAAATTTCTATTTAAAAAATGTGCAGGAGACAAAGAGGTTGGCAAAGTTTTGAAAGCCTTGATAGTTAATTAGTTCTCCAACTGTTCAAACTACTTTGACACAGTTACATATAT